TCCCAGCTTTGCCTCTCCCCTTGGCCTCAGCCACATCATGCCCACCACAGGGTGCCACAGGGTCCCCTGACTTACAATGGTGGTCTCCCACCCTTCTGCCCCCTGCCCAGGGTCCAAGCCCTGGCCACCCACCTGCTGTGCGCCACTAACTGCACTGGGTGGCTGCTCCCTGCCGCTCCAGGTACCAGGTGTCGCCTGGAAACCCCGCCCAACCTTAAAGTGACAGCATGCTCCTGCCCCTGCCAAGGGGCAGAACAACCCTGGAACTGTGCAGGAGCCCCGCCCTGGGCCGTGCCGCCCCATTGACTTACAGGGTAGATTTGACATTGGAGGCTCACTTCCAACAGCTATGGTGCCTCCAGACAGGGATACAGGTCCCCACGTCTCCCCACTTCACACAAAAGGGGAAACTGAGGTCCAAAAAGGGAAATCTCCAGCGTGGCCTGCATCCTGCTTTGACATGACCATTATTTTCTGTTCACATGAGTCAGTGAGAGAGCAGATTCTCCTGGACTCTTAGTACCCCATATCCCTGAAGGCAACATGCCCAGAACATTCCTTACCCAGGTCACTGGCCTGCTGGGAGAGACCAGGGCTGGAGTTGAGGCACTCGTATTCTGTCTTAAGTCAAGGACCAGTGCGTGCTTAAAAGATGCTTGGGCTGGGCACTGGTGGCTCACGCCTGTAATCCTAGCTACTCAGGAGGCTGAGATCTGAGGATCACAGTTCAAAGCCAGCCCCAGCAGGACAGTTCCTGAGACTCTTATCTCCAATTAACCACCAGAAAACTGGAAGTGGCACTGTGGCTCAAGAGCTAGAGCTCTAGCCTTGAAGAGCTGAGGGCCCAGAGTTCAAGCCCCATAAGCAACAAAAAGAAAAAAAAGAGAGAAATGCTGGCTAAGAGCTCACCTCAGTCCGCTTTTGTAGACAACTGGTTTGGGAGCCTGAAGAGTTAGCTCTGTGTGTGTGTGTGTATGTGTATGTGTATGTGTCTGTGTCTGTGTGTCTGTGTCTGTGTCTATGTGAGCATGCACATGTGTGAATTTGTGTGTGTTCTCTAGGAAGACACCTGAGCTATCCTAGAAAGGGGGCGGGCAGCAAAGGAGCAACAAGTGCCAAGCTGGACAAAGTCACAGACCAGTAAAATCTTAACAGATTTAAGAAGGTCTGTCCAGGACCCAATGGAGCCCAGGTTTGGGGTGTTTGTTTTTTGTTTGTTTTCATTTTTGTTTTTGTTTTTCTGATGCTGTCAACACCTGAGCACTGGGTTTGGATTGCCCTGAGCCATAGCCTAGGATCCCCAACATGCGGGAGTGATGCTCTTCCTACCCTGGAGCCTCCGACTCTGGCAGCAACCTGTGTGGTAGCTTTGAGGTTGCAAAAGGGGAGGCTGCTGGCTGCAGGTCACAGAGCAGGGCAGGGAGGAGAGACCACCAAGGCACCAAAAGTCTGTGAGTGATCTGAGCACTGATCCTCAGCTGGCAGGTCTCTTTCATTTTCTCTGTGTGAGGTCTGTTCAAATGCCCCCATTTCAAGTCAGGCTCAGACAGGGGCAAGTGCCTTACAAGGCTGAGAAGCTTAAACAAAGCTAAACAGAGACAGGGACCTAGGACTGCTGAGCTCCATTGTGATAGCCTGTTCTTGGCAGTGGGGGGGGGGGTAGTTTGGGGCTTTGAACTTGTAGCCTCACACTTGCTAGGCAGGTACTCTACCACATGAACCACCTGTCCAGCCCTGCTTTTTCTTGGTTACTTAGGACATGGAATCTAGAGAATGTATCTGCATCAACTGGCAATCCTCCAAATGTCTTGCATCAACTGGCCTCAACTGGCAATCCTCCAAACGTCAGCTTCCAGAGTAGCTAGAATTATAGGCATGCACTGGTGCCTGGTTGGACAGAAGCAGCCCCCAGAGCTATGAACAGAAGGCAGAAGACCATGACGTTGTCAGCTCCACTCACATCAGCTGGGCAGGCTTCCCCAGGAGGCATGTCTCTCATTGGTCAGGCTAACCTCCATCCCCACCCCACCCCCCGCCTGTAGTACCTAGGTTGAGTCACAAGCTGGTGAGGCTAAGGGCCAGTTTGGGCATTGCTTTATCTGAGGCTCCTGACTCCATATGGAAACTCAGGACCTGGGGTTGACAAGTCATGGTTCTTGTCCTACCTCAACCATGCCCAGGCTGGAAGTCTCTGTCCATTTCCTCTCAAAACAGTGGGTTTCTTGCCTGTGGTGAAAGAAAACAATGAAGACTTCTTCTCAGGGAAGCCATTGGGGTTTAATGAGACCAAATCCCTGGAGCTAGCTTGTGTATGTCATCGCCACATGATGCTGCATTTGTGAATCTCCTTGGTCTGTGGTGACTCCACTCAGGACTCAGCCATCTAAACATGACTGATTCCATTGCCTGTCCCCTCCTGCAGGAACTGCAGACTCCCAGATTCTGCCACAGTGCCCAAGTGTGCACAGATATGAGTTCTGCCAGGGCTGCTTATTTTCCTGGCACCAGTGAAGAGGTGAAAACTGGCCTCCATTACAGCCTGATTGCTCCTATTGTCCCTCACTGCCTCTTCGCCCCCAAGCTGCCTGACATCAGCTTGAGCTGCCACACCAGCCTCCCAACTAGTCCCTCACCTGCCTAAACCTTTCAATAGCCCCCCATTACCCTTGGAATAAGGACCCCACCCAGGCCCTAAGCATCCATGTCCTCATGACCAAGACCCTGGCTACCTCCAGCCTCACTTCCTATACTACCCCCCATGTCACCCCTGAACTCAGTGTTCTCTGTGTCCTAGAAACAAGGCCACACCATGGCCATAAACGTCCTTTTCTCCAGCTTCCCCTGATGAGCTCCTGCACTTCCCCTCAAACTCAGGTCACAGGTCACTTTCTCTGGGTGACTTCTCAAAGTAGAATGTTCCGTCCCTTTCCTAGGCTCCTATGGGACTTTACAGCCTGTCCATCACAGCCTTAAATATACTGGCAGAAACAAAACTCCATGCTGCCATGCTGTTGACAGCGGAAAAAAAAAAAAAAAAAAGCTGGAGCCAGATGCTATGGCTCACACTTGTAATCCTAGCTACTTATGAGGCTGAGATCTGAGGATCCAGTTCAAAGCCAGCCCAGGCAGGAAAGTCCATGAGACTCTTATCTCCAATAAGCCACCAGAAAACTGGAAGTGGCGCTGTGGCTCAAGTGGTAGAGCGCGATTGCCTTGAGCTGAAGAGCTGAGGGACAGAACCCAGGCCCAGAGTTCAAGCCCCATGACCAGAAAAAAAAAACCTGGATAGGCTGGGAAGGTGGCTCAGTGATAGAGTGCTTGCCTTGCATGCATAAGGCCCTGGGTTCGATTCCTTAGCACCACATAAGCAGAAAAGGCCAGAAGTGGTGCTGTGGCTCAAGTGGTAGAGTGCTAGCCTTGAGCTGAAGAGCTCAGAGACAGTGCCCAGGCCCAGAGTTCAGGCCCCACAACTGACAAAAAAAAAAAAAAAATCTGGATAAGTTTCAGGAAACTTAGAAAATATTAGTAGAGTCAAAGAAATAAGAGCATTCCATTCAGAGATAAAAAGCAAAGTCTCATCTTAAAATGAAAGAACATTTCCCTGAGCAAGGTCATACTGGGAGGAGCAAGAAGTACATGCTGGACTTGGCCAGGCTTCTCTAGTTCTATATGAAGAGTAAACACGTTCTCATATAGTATGCCTAGGAAGCGTGTTTGACTCACATTGAGGACTTGGTAATACTACCCGGGGTTATTTTTTTTCAAGCTGTAAGTAGAAAAGAAGCCAGAGAACATCCTTCACTTTCTTGGGAGAGCACCCTCTTCTCAATCCTGCTTCCAGGACAGGAAGCTTCTTCTGACAATACCTTCTCCAGGGACTTAGACCTCACCACCACCCAGGGGGGCAAACAACCACTGTAGCACTTGGCTCCAACTCTTTCCAAATGTGGAAGCTTTACAAACATCAAAGCATGTGTTGGGGGCTGGGAATGTGGCTGAGTGGTAGAGTGCTTGCCTAGTTTTATGCAGGAAGCCCTGAATTCCATTCCTCAGTACCCACCTACACAGAAAACGCCACAAGTGGCGCTGTGGCTCAAGTGGTTGAGTGCTAGGCTTGAGCAAAAGAAGCTCAGGGACAGTGCCCAGGCCCTGAGTTCAAGCCCTAGGACTGGCAAAATAAAATGAATAAACTAAAACCAGCCATGTGTTGGGTACTATTTTGGCATCTCACACTATCTTGAACATTTCTCTGTGTCACACTGCTTTTTGGTTCGCTCCTCACTTGTTTGGCTCCGTCGCTGGCAGCACCTTGAGGATAGCGGTGACATCTCGGGCCTGTCACCCTCCTCAGGGTCATCTCAGAGTGGCCCACTGCAGGCCCACCATGAATCCATGCTGTATGAGGGCCAGCCACTGTCCCATTTGTGCTTTAATTACCTGCCATGGACACCAGACAGCCTGCAAACACTCAAATATTTTCTGTCCAAAAATATGTGCGAAACCTACTCTAGACCATGATGCAGCTCTGTCACTTGTGTGCTGTGCAAACCCAAGCAAATTACCTCCTTTCTCTGGGCCTCCTCATGTGTAAAATAGGGATAAAATATCTCTCCAGAGGGAGGATGGCTATATTCACTTTCTACTACTGCATACCAAATCACCACAGAGGGAGCAGTTTAAAAATAGTATCTATTACCTTACTGCTCTTGAGGTCAGAAATCCAGGTGGGTTCAAGTAGGTTCCTTCCTTTGGGTTTCACCAGGCCAAAGTCAAGGTATTGTCTATTCTGGAGGCTTTTTGGAAAGAAAAAAAAACTACTTCCTTACTCTTTCAAGAGCTTAGGTCCATGTCTTTGATTACCTGAGGGCTTTCTTTCTTCTCTGGCTATTAGCCAGAGGTTGCTGTCGCTGATCTCAAGTCCTTTCTCCTGACTGCTTCATCTGTGTCTAGACAAAGAAAAAATCTACTTTTAGCCAGGCACCAGTGGCTCACATCACATCTGTAATCCTAGTTAAAGAGGCTTAGAGGATAATGGTTCAAAGCCAGCCTGGGCAGGAAACACCATGAGACTTTTTTTTTTTTTGGGCCAGTTGTAGGGCTTGAACTCTGGACTTGGGCATTGTCCCTCAAAACTAACACTCTACCACTTGAGCCACAGTGCCACTTCCAGTTTTCTGGTGGGCAGTTGGAGACAA